CCGGCACAGCCGGCGATTTGAGCCCTGGATATGTATATATATATATATATATATATCTATATATGTACAGACTCACATGGATGTAACTGTTTTAACTACTGTAATGTACAGCAATACTAATGTAATGAACATGTACATGTAATATATGAACCGTATGTATGCACGCACGCGCGCACGCACGCACGCGTGTACACTGAAAAAACACCTCTGTAAACTTGCGGACGTGGCCACATACATACATACATACATACATACATACATACATACATACATCCGTCATCCGTACAAACATACAAGCATGCATGATCATACGCCATGCACCATACATGCCACGCCATCAACGCACGGCCAAGTTCATACAACTGCAATGTTGACAGGTGTTGTTTGAACCCACACTCAAACCCTTTGCTGATATGCAGTAGTCAAGGAGGCTGCCGCTTCCCAGCTGGTGCAGGATTTTGACAGGTGTAATTTGGTTACTTGATTGCCTGTACACTGGGGAGTGCAGCCCCGTGGGCATGCAGGCGAAACTTCAGCTGAGCACATGTGTGTACAGAGTTTGTGCTGCCTGCGGCCAAGCTGGCCAGCAAGCTCTGGTTGCATCTTGAAGAAGACTCTGCACTTCGGCATCATCAAAACACAAGGATTCAGGGCATGGATGTCTAGGTCCGATCAGCTCAAGCTTCGACGGAGGCCCCACTCACGCTTCGGGACATGCTTGAGTCCCCATTGAGCGCAGTATGTGGCTCAGCCTGCAACAGGAAGCAAAGCTTTGGATTCTGGAGGCCGGTCGTTGCCTTCTTACGAAGCGCAGCTATCCTATCACCCGTGGCTGCTTCAAGCTACTGATCGCCACAATGGGGGCGACTCAAGCTTGTGTTGTGTCTGTTCAACAGTCTCCTGCAAATGCATATTGTCTCTGTGTGGGTGTCCATCTCTGCTCCGTCCGTTCACCGTGCGTGCATGTTGTCTTGCTGTGTTGCGCCGTGCCTCTCTGTCTGGTCAAGACGCTTGCGCGCGACACATTTTCAGACGCTTGTGGCCGCAGTCGATGACTAGCTTGTCAGGTCAGTTGGCCACATCGAAGTATCCGAATGGGCGTGACGGGGCAGTCGGGGTACTTGGTCTCCACGGCCTCCATCGCATCAAGGACCGGAAGCCCAGAGGAGACTTCCCCGAAAACCACATGCTTCCCATCGAACTCTGGGAGTGAACGCAGTGTGAAGAAGAAGCGCGAGCCGTTCGTGTCCGGGCCCCGGTTTGACATGGACAAAAGCCCCCTTCTTTCATGTGCATCCACGAAGGCTTCGTCTGCAAAGGTTGGACCTTGGTGAGTTTGAGCAGACTTCAGTAGCCTGTCCTGTTACACTGACACGCGTGGAAAGTCTGCACGCAGACTTTACAAAAAAACATGACTAAGGCTTGGGCCATATATGGACTGGCCGCCCATGCCATTGCTCTTCTCAATGTCGCCCGCCTCGATAAGGCATCCAGGCACCACCTTCGAACCGAGCGATCAAACAAACAAGACCCGTAAGGTCATACACGTCCTGTGATTGCTCTCTTCTATACAAGGGCAAGGGTGGGATCAATCCATCTGAGACCCTGGACCTTGTGGATGATCGAGTGTCGATAGTGCAGGCGCCGCTTTTCGGTGCTGAGCTCCCCGGTGCAAAGCTTCAAGAAATTCTCGGCCGTGCGCGGTACTGTGTCTTTGTAAAGGATCATCTCCACCCTGCCAACAGGTTTGGAACCGATCTGTATCTCCATCCAAACCTTGGGCAAAGACTTCAAAGCTTCCGAGGTGCGCCGTCGGGAGGATTGCTCGGGGGCCTTTCCGAAGAGGCCTCCGAAAGCTTGCTTCTGCCATGCTTGTGCCTCTTGCATCCGTGTCCGGCAGACCTCCAGCTTCTCACGGACCTCACGATTCTGCGGCTCGAGCTGTAAGGCGGCTTGCAAGTCATCCCGGGCTTCGCTCAGGGAGCCTCGTGCCAGCTGTGCCAATGCACGGCGAAACAGCGCCTTGCAAGAAGGCTCCAAGTCCAAAGCATCGCTGGCATGTTGAGCGGCTGCGGGAAAATCCTCTAACTTCAGACAGCATTGGGAGAGGTTCAGTAGTAAAGCCACACGGAGCTGACTGCTCTCTCGGAGTAGATCCAGACTTTCCTGGCCCGTGGTTGGAAGCGTCGAGGGCTGGAGGAGCATCAGGGACTCCTTGTAAGCCCTCGAGGCCGCGGAGTAATCACCGGCCTTAACGAGGCCGTTGCCGCGAACTTTGGCCTCCTGCGCCCGACGCAGCCTCTCCTCCCCCGCGAGCTTCCTGGAGCTCTCCGCAGTCCTCTCCGGGCTCGTCTCCATCTTCAGGCTCTTCTCCGGGAAGAGCTGGATGGTGAACTCCAACGTCGCCGAAGCCGGGATCTCCTAGAGAGCGAGAAAGAGAAGCCGACGCCCTGCTCTCAGAGAATCTTGAAACTTGCGGTTAAACCCCTCTGAATCCGTTCTTTCTGCTCCTCTCCGGCCCCTTCCTCGCCGAAGGCGAGGCTGGGATGGACGGTGAAAACGCTACGCTCACCGGGCTGCATCGTGGCAACCCCCAGGTCCCAGGCCTCCAGCACCTCAGCACATTTCAAGCTTTCTTATTCTAACAAAGATCTTGGGGCCACTGCAAGGTGACAGCGCGTGGGAGATCTGTCTTTTCGTGCTTTTTGGAAGACTGCAAAGAAGACGCCTGGTCTTCCCCAAGGACGAACTCGAAAGCCTCCTCCGCCATGGATTCCACGCATTTTCCCTGATGCCGCGTCTCGTATCGCACCTGGACGCGGTCGCCCTTTTGGGGTGAAGGCCCCGCGCCCTCCAACTCCACTCTTTTCAGCAGCCGTCCATCTCCGAGCAGATCGCGAGAGCCCCCCATGATGGAATCAGCTGGCGAGGTAAACAAAGCTGTGCTGTTGCGCTGGTGTGGTGTGATGAAACAAAAACGGGATTTGACCTTCCGTACACTGCGATAAACTGTTGTCCTCGACGGTCTTTCCTCGGCCTCTACTATCAGTGTCAAATCTCTCCCGCAGTCAAAGGACGGAATTAGAGCGATGTTGGTGATTGCAGGTCGAGGCTGTGGTGCAGTGAACTTGCCTCTGGTCAAAGGGTCAGTGACATGTGGAGACTTTAAGGTCTCTGAAGGGCAAACGCAATTTACGATTGCAACAGCTGCGCGTGCGAAGAGATGACATGCATGCACACGGGTGTGCACGGGTGGCATGGATGCCCAGGTCTCCACAAGTATGTGCATAAATGCCCGATCATGACTGCATGCAACTCTGTCTGCTATGTGTGTCATGCATCTTATGGTAGGGAAATCCTGACGGTCCCTCAGTGGCATTTACGGCATGCATGCTCAAGCCAACAGGTTGGACAACAGACGCCAGAGTCTAAGTCTTTTCGTCTACCACGAAACCAACCACGCACGATGTGACAGAACCTCAGCAATGCTTGCGCTCACGGCTTGCATGCGCCTGTCGGACTCGGATAGGGGCCCATGCCGCGTTCATGGCGCTTTCTCTGTCCGTATGGTCTGCATCAAGAGATACTATTCCCGTTCTTCGCTCTGCGTCCTATTGCTGGCATCAACAAACGGCTAGTGTCTTCAACGTCGTTCACGAGACATTCGGGATGGTTTAGGGCACAGGGCCCTCAGACTTTGAAATACTGTAGACTTCGTTCTTCGATCCTCGCGCGAGGCAAGGCTTCACGCTTGAAGACTCCCACAAGCTCTTCAGTCTTGCGACAAGCCAAGTTCCAACAGATCCTAGCACATGGACTCGTACTGGGCGCGAGCTGCTGGGACCTGTGATGAACTTGCCCATGCACGGGGATGCTGCGAGCCAGCGGCCACCCGGCCAAAGCGTCGAGAACATTTACTGAAAATCAATACCCATGAAGCGCTTTAGGCTTTGTGTTAATTAAGATGTCCGCTCATACACGCACACACACACACACATGTTTAGGGTAAGGGTCAGGCGGACGATAGGTGCCGGAGTCATTGTCCAGGAAAAGGATGAGCGCGCGTTCGGGCGTCTCGCAGATGCGGAATGTGCCCGCCATGCGAACCTTGCGAGAGAAGCGGCTTCAGCAGAATTTGCAAACCCGGACATGGATTGATGTGTCCATGGCCCCACTACCAAGGTGGCCTCTGGGGACGCATTTGCATGCACAGCATGCTTGCCTTGGATGTCAACTGAATGAGAGTCTGCACACACATCATTATCAAAGAACTCCGTGCCGAGATGCTGAAGAAGTCTTTCGCAATGTTGGCACCCGTCTCCTCGCCACTTTGGCATGAGTTCGGAACATTGAACTCATCTTCACTTGCAGCCAGGTGTCTGAAAAGAACATCCCTTCGTCCAGCACCACATATGTGTATACGCGCCTGATGTAAGACCACAGGCAGCACTGCTTGCTGCGAGACCAACCCATGGAAGTCCAGTAACAGGCTGAGAGTCAGGTATCGAGCCTCCGTCCCTTGCGAACTCCATTTCCCAGCAGTGACAAGAAGTGATTACCTAGAGCACCGGGCGCAACTGTGGATAAGTAACGGCAACGATTCACTGATTCACTACGAAGACGCCAGGAGAGACACGGGGTTCATGGTGGAGCGATACTACGACTCAAGTGGCCTCTTCCCAGCGTTGCTTTCTCGTTGCGCTTCCCGCCCCAGTAAGTGAAATGCGGACAAACTCCATCACCTGAACACGTCAAGTGCCAAAGATGTATTGAGGTGCTTCTGACGTCCACTGCTGCTGTGTTGCTGTAAAGTGATGCGTGCTCAGCCTGAACCACCTGACAGACACGGCTCCATGCAAGCCAACTCCGTAGAAAGAACAGGTGGGTCCCTGTCCCTGGCCTTCTTTAAGGGATCCTTGAACAGCTTCTTGTGCTCCCTGAGGCTGGGGCTCTAGGCGGGAGTAAAGATACTACGTCAAGATTCAATGCCCAACCAGATTGTTCCGAACTACTACGATACGGCGACGATCTCTTGCATCTGAGTTACTCTCCAATTGTCTTTAACCCATCTTATCAACTCCGTCAGCCATGGATGGGAGCCAATAGTCTCCACATTTGAAGGCTGAACACGGACTGAGGGCTCAATCCCTACATCTTCCAGGCGTATCTGTGCGGATCTGACGTCACATGCTGTGCTGTGAGCGACTGGGCACGCGGCTCATCCCAGTTGGAGTTGAACATGTCGCCGAACTTCTCCGAGGTTCTGAGGGGCCACTTGCAATGTGGGTCAGAAGAACAGCTCCGAAGGAACCCATCCTGGCCAAGCGGCGACCACAGCACGATGTGATACGTCTTGAAGATGTCCAGCGCTTCAAAATCCTTTCCGCTTCCCCAACACAACAACCAACTACCACAGCAAGACAACTTTCAAGCTGTTGCTAGTTACGCTAGTTGTAGCACGAGATGCTGCGACGGCTGCCACGGCCCCCATCAGTCCATTGCTGTGGACTTTCCTCGGTGAAACTCTCAAGTCGCGCTCACTTTGGCAGAACAACCGGTTGCGGTTGAAGAGAGAGTGTGAGCCCTTGAGCACTTCATCAGACCTTTTTTGGCTTCTTGTTCAGTGTTGTTGGCTGCTCGTCAGCACAGTTTTGTTTGGCTTCTGCTTGCCAACACAATGTCCAGTCTGGCTCCGCATCACTCAATGCACAACCAAACACCTCGGACTCTGCACAGCTCCCATCCTCCACACTCCGCACCGGATTCTTCAATCACCCCACCTGCACGATCCCGAGGCGTGGTGTCGAAAAAATGTGGCAACTGCCTCTGAAAGCAGATTCTGCAACTCAGCGTCACTAAAGCAGGCTGCAAGAGCTTTGCGGGACCCATCGGCGATATCTCCTCCGAATCTGAAGGAAAAGGCGTTCAACAAATCTCGCGGTCAGCTGGCATCAGTGTCCTTTGCCAGGAGGTCCACCACCAGCTCACCAGCCTGTTAGTATAATGGTGGATCTAAGATTCGCGGGGGTCCCTTATTCACGGCACCAGCTGGCTTCGGTGCCCGGCTTACAGCGCGTGTTTTTTTTTGTGAGGGGTTGGGGAGGGGAGGGGGGCTGGGATGTTATTTGAGAGTCCTCAAATCAAGAACCCACTGTTGAATTGAGGCCTATGCCGCGAGGCCAGAATCCCCTATCTACTGAAACTATGCGGCGACAGCAGCGGTCCTTCTCAGTCCCACGGCGGAAGACCTTGGAAGCAGTCACTCTGCACACGCTGAAACCACTGAAACCCTAAACCTACAATGACCCCTGTGCAGTCTTGCACACACCGCTAGAAACTCTCACAGGTTTAGCAATAGCACTATCCGAAAGCCCTGAAGCCGAAGCCCCTTAACTCTGAACTCCGAAAGCCTCATTCAGTCGCAACTTCCGGCCGGCTCTTAGCACCTCGCGTGTAGTGGCCCGCGGAAGTGCGCCTCCAGCTCACAGGGAGACCAAGAAATCAGAGAGGCGGCGGAGAGCTTCTGAGTATTCCCTAACTCCCTGTGTACACCTACTTGTTTTATAGTAGAGAGTGTATATTTTTTTATAGTAGATAGTGTATATAGTACACACACAGTAGTGTATATATATATATATATAGATATAGATATAGATATAGATATAGATATAGATATAGATATAGATATATAGACACATAGATATAGACATCGGGCCCGCCCTCGAACCGGGCTGAAGCTCTCCTGATTTTGCGGTCCCTATCCCAGATGCAGTGAAGCCACCAGGCGTGCCAAAGCAGAGACATTCACGTGCGCAGTCCCAACCTTCGCGTCCTGAAGCCATCATAGCGCAGTGTATTATGTTTGTATAATACCTAGTAGTGTATTGTTTTGCTTGTTTTTGTCTCCCGCAAGTTGGGATGGCTTGCATTGCCTTCCTGTCTTTTTTTCTCAAAGCTGCACTCGCTCTCTCTTCCAAACGTCCCAAAGAAGGCGGCCTTGCCTACTGGGTCGAGACCCGTCCTCTGCCCAAAGCGCGGAGCCCTTCTCTCGGATGGTGATTTCCAGAAAGTCCTCTGCATCCTCGGCTGAATCTGCAGATACATCAGCTGGTAGGTGGGCAAGGAGCACCGCAATATGCATCGAAGTCTCCCAGGTCACGGTCACTGATCCCTCCGCCGCCCCCCAGGCCTGGGCCGAAGACTCAATGGCGACAATTCCATGCTAGACGGCCTTGATTCCTTGATCTAGGAGTTCGTATTGTAGTGTTACAAGACTAAGAACAAAGTGATACTACCTTCGGGGTGCGCAATGGTAGTCATTGCAAGGGATCCGCTGCAGTGAAGCACAAACTTTCGGGGGGGGGGGGGGGGGGGCATTGTCTGGAACGCACGCAATGCAATGCCGGCCGTAGTAATGGGCATGCCTTGCCAAAATGCCAGGAGCATCTGCGTCCGAGTCTCAGGGTGCGAACCTGCCGAGCCAACGCCAGATCGCTCGATCTTGTCGCCGAGGCGGACCACCTGTGCATGCGGAAGGTAACATCGCAAAGTTCTACACTGGCTTCAGAGAGATTTTGGCACAAATCCCTAAATCCAAAACTATACCCTTAACCTCAAAACCCTAAACCCAAACCGAACGTCTCGAGTCTCCACAACTGGACCGAGGTGCGCAGTACGGATTCTTGCAGCCATCGGAGAGGCTCCGGCCCTGGCAACGGTGCACGAAAGAAGTAGTATGTAGCATTCTTGTTATGAATCTTCTTTCGTCCGTGTTACGAAATGTTTTGAAGTTCCAAACTACAAATATGGGTCTTACTTATGATGTTTATCGATGCATTTTCTTTGGCTATGCCTGCAAAAGCTTGTGCCGTCAAAGTCAGGTCCTCCAGAATCTGCACTCGGATGACGGCACTCGGCGTCCTTGTCTTTTGTGATAGCACTAGTCAAACAAGGCGCGGGTAAGAAGGGTAGCTGCCAAGCGACGTCGAGGCCACATCCATGTCAAGGCAGATGCAAGTGCAGCATCCATTGCAGATGGTGCATAAACCTAAGAATCCTTGTTGCGTCTTGTGGCGGCTGATGAACTCTCTATTACAATAGTCAAACTGAACTCGGAGTTACCAAGCTCAGCTGCATGGGCAGCGAACATGTTAAACGAGAAGACGTCCCTGAACCGCGTATGCAAGAGAAAGCTCAACAAAGCACAAGTGGCAACTGAGCCCGGCATGCGCTTTGTGTTTTCGCAGTAGTCTGAGCGTTGAGTACGCCTTCTCGCAGTTATGCTAGCACACGTCGTTCTACTTCCCTCTGACATGTGAATGGACACCGAACAGCCACATCTCCACGTCCAGCAAAAGTTGGCGTGTCTACTTATCAGCATAGCTTCTCCAGTCCCGCTTGCTATGTCCTAGCCAGAGCTTACAGCTGTAAAGTCCAAACAGCTTACCGTGGTGTGCCTAGCTTGGTCTACTACACGAATCAGGCCTCGATCCGTCTCACATTTTTTTCGCACAGTCGTACGGAGACACAGCGCTGGGCATGGGGTGCTGGAAGCCCGATTAGAAAAACAGTGCTGCACACAAGCCCTTGCCTCAAAATTTTCCTACTTTCGGTGCAGACCTGCCAGGAGCTCTCAGTAGCTTGGCTCCTTCAGTGTACGGCTTGCTAGATCACATTGAAATTGGACTTTTGATTTAGGCGAGCACTAGGTGATACAATGATGATATGACATGAAACTCAAGAGACGTGACGGTGCGTCCCAAATCCACGGCTCGGGGAAGATCCCGCGGCATCTGAAACCACGTCGTCTGAAGCCAGCTCGTGTAATGAGATACATATGTATATATATACACACACACACACATATATATATATATATACATATCTATTATATACATACAGTACTATATATGTATATACGTGTGTGTGACTCATGTGTTTATATATGTATATGTGATTGTATGTGTGTATGTGTGTATGTGTGTATGGGGAGAGAGAGATCTACCGATATATATATATATATATGTGTGTGTGTGTGTGTATATATATATTATGTATTTATTTGCTTATGTATTTAGTAATTTATTGTGTTCATACACGTGTAAGTGCAGGGCCGTGCCGGTGCCTCTTCCTGTTGGACGCGGATTCGGATCTTCTGCGCCTCTCCCGAGAATGCTCAAGGCACCACTCTGAAAGATTCCAGCTCCTGCCTTCCTTACTTCCTGGCCTTTGCCCTCTTGTGGCGGCATGTGCTACTGCGTGAGCTTGAGACAAGCGAGAGGGGAGGGGGAGAAAAAACGGGCCACGCGGCAGAACTGGCCTGGAGCTGGATGCGGCCTCGGTTGCACCGGCAACCTTTTTTGTGCTGAAAGGATAGCACCGCCAGCATTGACCTATATCCGATCTCTTGAATAGTCTCTTGAATCTGGGCGGCTCTCGGCAACGAGATCGGAAGCTGTGAATTTCTCTGGCTCGATTTCGATTTATATGTTACGTCTCTTAGACTCTAGACCCCTCGCACGTGAAACAGATGGCTGGCAAATTGCTCTCCAAGGCCCAAGCTTTCCGCCGTCCGCTCCTTCCACCAGACAAACCCAAGGTGTTGTGCCCAACGCAGGGCAATCCCAATTTACCGACAGCACACACCAACACCAGCACAGCAGCAGTGCAACGGTGTAACAGGCGATGCAGTGGCCTCTGACATATATATTTTCACCATTTCCGGTACGCTGATGATGAATGTGATGCTTGTCGCTGGCTTATCGTCATTGAAGAGTCGTGGACGTGACCGCCTCTGTGCTGCACCTATAGCATCAGGCCGCACGGTCGTGTTTTTTTTCCCTCAGCTTCTCAGGAATCGCTCCCATGACTTCCGGCGCGCGGTCCTGCCCAAAGGCGGAGGCAGGGTTTTGGTAAGGCCAGCGTCTCAGATCTCCGACGAACGCTGAAGCAAACGGAGAAGCAAAGGGGAGGCCTCCGGAACTGGGCCGAGCCTGGCTGCGTCAGCCAGAGCACTGGCTCTGACGGCACGGACATGGAGAAGACTTCCTGAAACATCAATACTTCAGCGATGTTTAAACCGGCAGTGTGAGTGATGATACGTCTGAGACGAGATTCATACTTTTCTGGTTGATTGAAGTCGCCTCGCACCTTGGAGTTGAACAGCCGAGCAGCGCACGACATATGCCACAAAGGAGGGCTCCCCGTAATTTGCCGTTTGACTGCCCGCCGCGCGGCGAATTGAGCATTGTGCCCTTCAGTGCCAGCTTCTTGGGTGAGCTCGCCTCATTGTCATTAGCCGTCAGAGAGAGAAGAACGAAGCCCCTGTCACTAAACTCTAACCCTACAGTTGTTATCCCCTAAAGCCTGCACCCGAATGCTGGGGAACTGCCAGGGACCTGGCCTAGATGGATGCACTCCAGCCTTTCAGAAGACCGGATGCAGTCGTCATGGCAGTTCTCAGCTTGCTGCAGTTCCAAACGCACATTCAGACAAAGGTTGCAAGTTGCGAGCTTGACTTTTTGGAATGGGCTCAGCTTCAAAATCCGAGAATCTCCAGGGCATTGCCCCTTCTTCGGCTGTGTGAGCTCTTCCTTGGATGGTATAAACCATGAGATCAGTACCACCTGCTGCCTGGAATTTGCACAGCTAAAAGACTTTGTTTTTTGCAGTGCCTTCTGCCAGTGCATTTCAGGGCCAACTCCACAAGTCTCAACACACGTTTTACCACAATGTCCGCTAGGTTGCCTCTTGATGATCGACGTGCAGACACCGTTCGTCAGCACCCATGCAGGCATGAGTGCCGCACCTGGGTGTTTCGGGACCACTCCAACGGGGCGCTCCATCTTCTGGCAATCTTAGGCGGCAACATTCCATGGTGCTGATTGACGAGCTCAGAGGGAGGCATTGCCTTCACATCTTCACCTAAGTCTAAGTCTAAGTCGGCTCGACCTCCCGACAGCAGACGCATGGCATGCATCACATGCAAGGATAAAGATCCTGCTGGCAATGCAGCCTTCGCTTGAGCTGGAACCGAACACAGCAAACAGTGCGAAAGAGCGGCACAACATCTGCTTTCCCTCGTTGACCATGCCTCGTATGCCGACATGATGACTAGGGTGTGATTCTGATGGGTCCTAGAACCCAAACATTCCAAAAACATGTTAAGCAATGCGATGAAGCCAAGCAGCAGCATTTGTGCCACCTCAGATCTCCAACAAACCCTCTCATGCGACGTGTTGCTAGCAGCGACGACGCCAGAAAGCCCCCAAACAAATACCTGTTTACATTAACAAACATACATATACAAAGGTCTATACATACATATATATGTATGTATGAATACAGTTACACAACACATGATCATTACTATCGGATGCTTTCATCTTTTAAAGCTTGCACCAAGGCGCTCCTCGTTGGGGAAGGTCAGAGTCTCCAGGCGCGCGCGCCTCCCGAGGACTCCGTAGCGCTTGCGACTTCCGGTAACCTTGGCAAAGGCTCGACCGTCGTAGACTATGTAGACTATGTTTCATACATACATACATACATACATACTTTAAGAACTCGCGCTCGACTGCGTCAGGCGAGGATGATGTCAGCAAACAACTATTTCAAGGCTCCGTTAACATAAATGTATTAGTGTTTTATGCCCGTCATGCACGAATGTACTATAATGTCTTGTATCATACCATAACATACACACTAGAATATATCATAATCTGCTATACGTCATGCACCACAAGATTTTACAGGAAAGAGCCTGAAGAATTTTCAAAGCTGCTCGAGAGCTCTTCTAGGAGTGTGTCATGGCTTCCATCGTCGCTTAGGTGCTTAGAAGGTCTTAGACTTGGCTTCAAGTTTCAAGTTGGGAACAACTGGCAGGGATACACCATTCCCAAAGCTCCAGGCTCTCCAATAGCTCCTTTTGACCCTGAGCAGTTGCGAGCTTCTCCGCATCGGGGACATCATTAACCAGGCACTGTGGCACGACGTTTTATCATGCTTTTGCCTTCTCCTGCGGCTTTTCAACCAGCTTCCACGAAGGGTAGACTTTGTGAGGCATGGGACAGCACTTGCCTTCATAGGGCGCTTTTAGTGCCAATCGGCCACCGCTTTGAAGGCCCCAGGCCCACATCTCACCGGCATCTGTAAAAGCCAGAGAGTGGGCGTGGCCACACGTCACGGCTAGAAGCTCTGGCTTACCAGCACCCCAACCTTTGCAGGAAATCAGTGTTGGGCCAACTTGATCGGGAGATCCTTTTCCCAAGCCAAGTTGACCTTTGCTGTTATCACCCCAACCCCACAAGCTGCCTTGCGAAGTGATGCAAAGAGTGTGGTTACTCCCCGCTGCAACAGACAGCAATTCAGCGCCCTCTTCGATCTTCTTGAACAGAAAGGGTGACTTCACGTGATCCTCTTCGCAGACTGTATAGTCCCGACCAAAGACCCACAACATCGATCGCTCATCAAGCGCGCAGGTGTGGAACGATCCGCAGCTCACATGCGCAAACCTGGGGCTCTCCACTGAGGTGCCCAAATCGGGCTGGACGGTCTGCACGAGCTTCAAGGAATACTGGTTATCCATGTCTCCGTGACCTAGCCGGCCAAACCATCCTGCGCCACAGGTGAAGAGCTCCCCATTGCTTCCGATCACGGCCGTGTGCATGGAACCGCAACTCACCGACTGCATGCGGTTTTCGATTCGGACCTGCTTTGGGAAGCCCATGGAGCTCCGAATCATGCTGGACCCGTGGCCGAGTTTGCCACACTCGGCATTGCCCCAGGTGTAGAGCTCACCGCCAGGCGTGATCGCTGCAGAGTGATCCTCTCCAGCGGCCACCGCGCTCACTTTGGATAGCGCTGCCACGAAGGTGGGCTCGCTCATGTCCTCGAGAACTGGCCCTACAGAGACGACTCAAACAAGCTGGAAATGAAGGATACCAGGCAGCGTAATTAACTGGCGGCTCATGCAAGACACCTGACCTAACCTAACGTTTCCACACTTTTTAGCCCGTGTTTTGCAGCCATGGACTTGACCTCATTCAGACGACTGGAATGCTCATCGGAAAGGCCCATCTTCCAAACACCACGTTTGTCTCCTTTCTTGCTTCCTTCCTGCCTTCCTGTCCGCTCCCCCCTTGCCCCACTTCGGTTAATGTGTGCGCAGGGGTAAGCACAAACAAGAGTGTGACCCTAGGCAAGCTCGGCAAAAGGCAGCCGTCAAACTCACCTGTTTGCATTGGTGGGGAGCATCATGTTACCGCACTCATCCGTCAGCTACCCAGAAGCCGATACCGCCGATACCCGTAAGAAGCACCAAGCACTACCACTTTGATCTCCCAAGCTCCTTGGTCGTTCCGAGGCCGAGCTGTCCATGGTGGTTCCGGCCCCAAGCAAAAAGCTCCAAGTTCTTGGAGATCATGAGGCAATGCTCCAGGCCCAAGCCGATGGTAAGCACCTTGATCTTCGAGCCTGATAAAGGGTCCATGGCTGCGAGCAAGACCGGCTTCCAGACGTCCTGACCCTCCGGCGAAGCATTCTGCCCATACTCCCCGGTGCCCCAAAGCCAGCAGGAGCCATCCTTCTCCACGGCGGCGGAATGCATGCCACCGCAGGCCAGAACTTCGATCTGGCTCTCCGGGCTCGGACCCTTTTGGCCTTTCGGGGTCTCCGAAGAAAGAGCTTTTCCATCCTCCCAAGACTGGGAGGTGGAGGGCCCCCTGGTCTCACGCACCCAGCCACGAAGATTCGAAATCTGCTCGGGGACTTTCCGATCGCTGATGTTCTGCCCAAGGCCAAGCCGTCCCATGCTCCCGGAGCCCCAGCTGAAGACGTCGCCAGTGCCGCTCAAGGCCATGGAATGGAAACGCCCTGCAGCAATTTCGATGATCGCGTGACCTTTCAGGTTCTCAGCATCCAGCTCTCTGGCAGTCTCAATATCGTCACTCTCCCCGTGGCCTGTGTACAAATAGCCCCCCCAGCTCCAGATGGTGCCGCGGGATGTGAGTGCCAGGCTGTGAACAACCCCTAAGGCTACCTGGCAGCAACTCTTCCCAATCATTGAGCTCACTTGCCGTGGATACATATTGTCATCCTCCTCACCATGGCCGCAACGGCCGAAGGAGCCCGCACCCCAGCACCAAACCTGGCCAATAAAATCGATAGCGGCAGAGTGGGCCTCCCCGACGGCCATAAACTTGAAGCGAGGCGCTGAGGTCTTCGAACTCTCAGTTTCAATTTGGACAAGTGTTGGCTTCAGGGCTGCCTCACATGCTGGACCATGGCCCAAGCGACCATGACCTCCATGGCCCCAGGAGTAGAGTCCTCCGGTCCTAGCCAGGGCCATGGAATGCTTTGTGCCCGCTGCCACTTGGCAGCACTTCACGTCACTTGGCATGTGAACTAGCGCAGGTGTCCACTGATCGCAGATCATACCGGTACCTAAATTCCCGTAGCTCCCGATGCCCCAGGCATAGATGGCCCCGTTCTCTGTCAGGGCCAAAGTGTAGTCTGTGCCGCAGCTTACGGATGTAATTCGATCCATGCCGAAGTCCACGCGCAACGGCACGTTTAGGCCCC